TTGGTAATTTCTACTACGTAATTTCCAGCCCTTCATATAAACATCGCGATTTTGCATCCGGGAATGATACGTGCAATATTAGGCTACGTGCGGAAACTGTTACTGTTTTCGGCTCAAAAATGGTAACAATTTCCGCACGTAATACAAACATACTTAAAATATGCAAACTCCGCAAGGCTATATTTTCTGTATTTTACAACATTTCGTAACCACATTTTGCAATTTTACTGATTTTAATATAAAGTTCTTTACGGGAATTTACTTCTTTTTGCCTAAATCAAAAGTTAGTCTAACATGCAAGTAACGTTGTATATTTGTCCCTCAAATTTTCCTGGATGCCCACTCTATTCTTTTATATTAACGTCTATGGATTAGACCGCGAGTAGTCCCTCGGAGAAACGAGGGACTGCCGACAACACATCAAGAAACGAAATACGCCCACTTTTCGCTCTTGAGTCTTGTCAAAGTGGCTCCGCCCTCTGCATAAACATTACTATATTCAATTACAGTGCGTCTACTGTAAGTGGGGCATATTGTAAACACTGGACTGGACTTTGGACTATGGACTTTGGACTTTGGACTATGGACTTTGGACTTTGGACTTTGGACTTTCGACTTTCGATTTTGAAATTATATTTTTAAAATATTCGTATAATTATATTAATCAAAATCTAAACAGAAAACGAAAATTTGTGCATGATACAATATTCGGTAAAAGGTAAAAAATACTGTCAGTTATATAGGTATACCAGTGCAATTTCATAGATATAGCCTGTGGGATAACAGGATCATCTCAGTAATATTTTTAAGTTAATAATATTTAAATTTTATTATAATATTTGTATTTATAGTATGTATAGTACAGTTTATACTGCAGAACTTCTTCTTTATCGTATATATAATAGATTTATAGAAACAATTGCGACAAAAGTAGCTTGACAAATACAAAATATTGAGAAACTATCACGTATAAGTATAAACTACACGCGATTATTATTGCGCCTTTGGCTTTGAACAATTATTCGCCGAAGGCGAGGCCGTGATTATCCGGGAATTTGTAGTCTCCCTCGCAGGCGCCAGTTGTGTACGTTCTCTCTGATGTCTGCGAAGGAGGCTAGGGAATTTGTCAAATTTGACCAATCAACTTGACAACTTGTAGGATTTGTTGTACTATTTATTCACTTGCGCAAAAATACTATTGACGGTATATTGTTCATCTTTGCATAATAGTTTACACCGGTTTAGCGCCTGCCTAAATAGGCTGTGTTTACAATGTATTTTGTCTGTGTCAGTTTTAGCTTTTCATAAATGTATTCAGCCATAGTGAACACGAAAACTCTCATAGTCATCATACTTTATAAAATACGAATGTATGATACATTATTATATAATTGGTAGTACTGACTACTTTATGATAATCTATAGTAATTAGTATTACTTTATGTATATATTTATGTCTATATTATTGTCTATATACGGCTCTTTTGCGTACGTTATGCGGCTGAGCATTAATCTTTATACTACGATTGCGATTCCCGCCTGGTTCATCACTTGCAAGTGGTAGTATTACAGTAAACGTGGCAAATAGTTGCTAGACTACCTGAAGCACATAGACATAGATTTTTGCCTTCTCACACACAACTGAGTAGGTCTTAAAAAGTGTGTAAATTTCCGTTAGTCGAATATTCCTGTCCATCTACTAACACTTATTAATAATAACTGAAGCACTTTAATAGTCTTATAGTGATATGGATAGCTAACTAGAATGTCTTTCAAAAATAAGTAACATTAACAAAACGTTACTGTGTAACGGAGTAAACAATTACACAATACTGCAGTACTAGTATAAACTATTATGCAAAGATGAACAGTCACAATACTCAATAGGCGCGATAATAATCACTTGTATAGTTAATATTTTGTATTTGCCGAGACACTTTTGTCACAATTGTTTCTGACAATTAATCTATTAGTATATGATAAAGAAGAAGTTCTGCAGTATATACTGTACTATATGCATACTATAAATACAAATATTATATAAAATGTAAATATTAAATCCCAAAATATTGGATAATCCTGCTATCCTACAGGCTATATCCGTATGAAATTGCACTGCTGGTATACCTATATAACTGATACTAGAGATTTTTTACCTTGTATATTATTATATCATGCATGTGCATGCAGTGTAGCACGCTTTTCAGCAGCAAATTTTCGTTCTCTGTTTAGATTTTAATATAATTATACGAAAATCTAAAAAATAATATAATTTCAAAATCGAAAGTCCAAAGTCCAAAGTCCAAAGTCCAAAGTCCATAGTCCAAAGTCCAAAGTCCAGTCCAAAGTCCAGTCCAGTGTTTACAATATGCCCACATGAAAGCAATATTTCTAATGTAGTTCACTTTTATTCGTGATTAGATGTCTAACCATCGAACCCCGTGACAATGCAACGAACTACAGTAATATCGGCTGTGACGTCATGATCAGTGCTCTCACTTTTAAGGAATTATCCTTAAAAATAGGAATTTTGAAGAGTTTTAAGGATTTTTTTAAGGAATTTAGGTTTTTGAGGATTTTTTTAAGGAATTTCCGAAACATTTTATCTTGGACTGGAAATGTTGGACGGAGGATAACACGCCACGCAAATGAGATTTAAACTTGAAATTAACAACATTATACGCACATATTTACATACATATGGCTGTCTTGCCATTAAAATTCTCAAAAGTTAAATGTCAGTATAATATGCTGTTTCTTCTGAAATCTACATATTTTCTAAACTGTTCATGCAGCAACGATAAAAAATACATCATGTTGAATGTTTTCTTTATCGCATATGCTAACAATCAAATGTTTTCAGATTTTAGTGCTTAATAAATGGTTTAATAAATGTTCTTATGTTCCAGTACCAATTTGGTTCCAGTACCAAATAACACAAATCACACTCATATAACGTAATTGTCATCATAATATAATAGTATATGTTTCTGTACATGGCTTGGCATGTGATTTATAACAAAACTTAAAACAGTGTTTTGAAACCCTAGTTTTTTACAAAATGTGTTCTCAGAACGCTGCAAATGCCATTTCCGGGATTCAAATTTTAAAAATTTTCTGTGCCTTCGGCACGAGCCCCCCCCCCCCCAATATTTCGTAAAGTGTCCGCCACTGGTCTTTTCATTAAAATTCTCAAAAGTTAAATGTCAGTATATGCTGTTTCTTCTGAAATCTACAGATTTTTTAAGCTCTTCATGCAGCAACGATCAAAAATACATCATGTTGAATGTTTTCTTTATGGCATTACGCTAACAATCAAATGTTTTCAATTTTTAGTGCTTAGAAACAAGGTTATAAAAACTGAAAAACAGAAAAAAGGAGGAAAAAAACACTTTTTGCAACTGTGTGATCAGGCCTTCTGGTAATTTTACCAATTTAAGGAATTTTAAGGAAATCTGAGGAATTTTCGAGCTTTTTCTAAGGAATTCGAAAATTTGATTGTGAGAGCACTGGTCATGATCAAACATTCCCTCAGCGAATTTTTGACTAGTTTTGTTTGTGGAAACACCACGTAACTTTATTACTGCAAAGCTTTCGATCCGTAAGCTGATGAAGATCCGGGCTTACGGATCGAAAGCTTTGCAGTAATACATTTACGTGGTGTTTCCACAAACAAAACTATTATATTTTTCCCCATGCAAACATACAAAGAACGAATTTTTGACTGCAATTTTTTTTTTACAATATTTTCTCACGGAAGAGTTAGTCAAGGGCCAAGGCTAGTAACGTTTCAAAATATAAGTCAGAGTTAGTTCCAACACACAGAGGAGGATATAACAGTATTCTAACAATCCCATGGGAACAAGAGAAATCGTCATTCTACAGATGTTTTGCTGGAAATAATTATGGTAACGACAGTAGAGTGTTCAAGTTTATACGATATGGTAAGAATCTGCACCCAACAAAAAATTTTCAGGGGCCCCCAGCAACTCGGGGCCCGGGGCAATTTGCCCCCTGCCCCTGCCCCTCTCGGCGGCCCTGCTCCTACAGCAGGGATTGTAATCTGATTTACTACAACAGTCAAATGAAACGTGAATTACATATTTTTGTTCCAGGGTCTGCAGTGACGTATCGTCCAGTGTTTTCAACAGCCGAACTTGGTTCATCGTATAACTTCACATGTCCAGCTGATTTGACCAAGAACTACAAATATAGGTTTCACACAAGAGGTTTTTTCGGGCCGCGCACATTGATAACACCTGATGCTAATACTAAACAATTTGGACATGTATTGATGAAGTCAAATCTGAGATACACAGATTCTGGATTGTATTTTTGTTCTGTTTATGATCAAAGTCATAAAGTGATAAAGAAATTTAAACATTCAATGATTGGAATACTTAGTGTTTTCCACGTAAGTAATTAATGTTTTGGACTTTTAAGTTTCAGAAATAATAAATTAGAATATGTATATATGGGTGCCTGCCATGCACTGTTGGTATACAGTGCACATAGATAGAGACTTTATTTAAAGAGGGTGACACTTAATAGTACGAAGTACCAATGAACTTGTGGCCCTTGTGCCCTTGTGGCACATGTACCTCAAACCACCAAAAAGCACATCGCAGTATTTTTTTTTAAATGTACACTCCAGTTAAAGATGGATTTGTATTTGTATTATGGTGAAAAATATGATTGTGTATGTATACCACATACAGCGGATCAAACAAAGTTCGGGCAGCATGAGTGTTGTATTGACTATATAGCGGTTCATCAAGGCCATCAGCAATGTGTAATATCATGCATTAGAGTTGTGCAGGTTTGGGCCCCTGAAAGTGTGTAATTTATCAGCTCTGAATGAAAAGTTCTGAAAACATTCTAAATTTTGTCAATAAAGTGGAAAAAATTGTTTTACTAATTCCATGGTAATGTGAAAATGTTATAATTCACATGCATAAATTTAAAATGCATTTAGCTAAGCTTTTAAGCTAAAGTACCTTCGGTTTAGGGGTACATATAGTGGTATTGTGAATATTGATGTTTCTACAACTTTGCTAACAGAAACAAAAAATTCCGGAAATTATAGATAGAAGAATCGTAACAATATAAGATCTTTGACTTTTTATTGTAATATTAACATTCATACTCTCATTAAGTTACATTGTTACAAGTTGTATAGCAACAGATATTAAACAATTATTGAATGAGGTGGAGTGGGATATGAGGAATTATTGAGGCTGAGATAACACAAACCATTATTTATTAGAAACAAATATATACACAAGTTTTTTCCAGCTAACTTGATAAATAAGTTTGTACATTTTAAAATAAAAATATTTGAATTCTGAGATTGGCATAATATTTTTAAAAATCCTCCATATTTACTTTTTTAGGTAAACCAGACTCAAATTGACCGGATGATCTGATTCTGACTGCAGTAACAAAGAACAAATTAAATTATAAGTATCAATTAATGGAACTGTAATTTTCATGTTGAATTATTTGACGATACAGTCAAAGTGATTTTTGTGTAATTGAATAATAGGTGTTAACGTGATTACATGGGTAGCAAGCATTAATAAATTTAAATATCGTAATCAG